CTGTTATGTTCTGTCCAGTTTTATTTTTGTAAAACGTTCATTTAAAATTTCTGTATTTTATGTTTATTATGTTGTTGCATTGTATATTCTCTTTTAAAGTACTCTAAAAAATCCACGAGAATGATAGTCTGAAAAAGACTTTGCTTTTTAGTATTTAAAATTTCTGTATATAAGGATATTTACCTTTGCCACATTGATTTTATGTTTATTATGTTGTTGCATTGTATATTCTCTTTTAAAGTACTCTAAAAAATCCACGAGAATGATAGTCTGAAAAAGACTTTGCTTTTTAGTGCTTTTTATTTTTCATTCACAGGGACACCTCCTGACCCCATCAGTATGTGACTTTACTGGTTGTTGAAGTAGTTAAACATCTAAGTACTCTACAATGTTTATTCAAATATGACATCAGATGAGAATCTTTCTGCCATCTGTCTTATTTTTTTTAAATCTGGATTTTTTTGTTACATTACATTTCTAACTGTACAACATTGCATTGTCAAAAGTTCTAAATCTTGTTTAAAAGTCGGTTAAATAAAATGAGAAAAGGGCTTCTATGAATTCACATCCTCAACCAGTATCAAATCATTCTTTACACAACTATCTTACGTAACTCTGGTATTAAAGACTTTACTGATTTCTTGTGTGTTTAAAAATGCATCTATTTCATGCATTTTTCTTTACTACGCCTACGTAACAATAAGTAACACCATGTTACACAACGTGTCCAACAATGACGATAGGTGTTTAAATTTTTTCCAGTTGCAAACTGATTCAGTAATTTTTAGTTTCAATTCCAGAGGTAACAGCTCCCCCTGCTGTGCAAAATTATATACCACAACATGGTAAAACGGCAAAGAGAAAATCTAATGAAATACGAGAAAATCTCCAGATACTTATGTTGATTAAAATCTTTTTGAACGCCTGTCAATATGTGTACGCACGCTTTTTAAACACTTTTTTTTAACTGCAGTGGTAAGTTTAGGTATTGATGTAAGTTTTGTCCACATTGTGCCTTTCTAATAACTGCGACCTAATAAAAAGTAAAGCCAGGTGAAAATACCCTTAACCCTTTCACGTTTGATGTCACTTTACAAATAAATTGTTAAAAACAAATTATCAAAATGTAACTTTCACATCGGGTTGAAATGCTGTGGTTCTATAAAATAACATTCGGAATTGTCAGTTTCCGACTTTTACCGTTTAAGTATACTCACTAGATCTATATGATTTTATTTTGACAGTCTGTACCGGAGGCATTGCGTTTCAGATTAGCTTGACGTTAGTCCCGTTATCCGGCACTTCACAAAGTGTTTCAGCTCTGGAAGATTGAAACATCGCCTCGGACCAAGTTGGACAGAGAGTTGAAATATTGTTTTCAAGGACAGAATTTACTGAACTTATCTGGAGAATTAATGACATGTTTCTGGCACTTGACTGGTGGATTTCGCTCGTTTGTTTGGCAGGTAAGAAATGAGGAATGAAGAAAGCAGGTTGTCAAACATACCGAACTAACGGTTCTACCGTGCTGAAGAATTTGAATGGTGGAGGACGGTGTTTTAGATGATTGGCCAGTATTCTTTATGCCTTAGACTTTATTCAACAAATCTTTCCGATAGTTTAATGGTGTGGTTGAGCTGCCCGTACTAACTGCAGCCATCACAGGTATATCTTGACCAATTGACTCTCCTTCGTCATTTAAAAAGGCATGCTCACTATCTTCTGTTTTTATTTATTTATTTATGGTTAAGTTATACCACCATCTCTTTTTTAATGACTGGGTTCACTGTAACTTCTTTAGCTCCTTACTTACCCTTCCACTACCTAGCCCTTTTCCTTCTTTACTTTCCAGCCTTGTATACATCTCATTAACCTTCTCGCACTGTTGTTTGCCGGGCGTCCAACATTATGATACTCTTGTCTGTCCCTTTCACCTTTATTGCTTTTTTTTCCTGTTTATATTCTTAATTTATCGTTTCACGACCAACATTCATTGACTCTTATGTCTTTAAAACACATCAAAAACATTCGGAGCAGGTTTAGCTGTGCCCTTCTTCTCCTCTGAGGATTACCAGCGACCCCCTAGAGCTTGTTGTAACTCTTTCCAGAACATTCTGCAGCATTCCCCTTCATTAAATGACACATTCCTAAAACATAACTTGCTTTTCCTATCGTTTTTTGGTATGATTTTACAATTACCTCGTACAGATATAGCTGAGTTAGTTGTGTGGAGAGAATTATCAATCCATGTATACTTTCAGTTTTACTAAAAAGTAATAACGCTCCTCTCCCCTGGAGCATGTCAGGAAAACAGACTTCCTGCCTACTCTGTGATTATTAGGAGTTGTCCAGTTTAAAAAAATGTACTTTTTTTCTGAGCTTATTCACTGAAAATAGACATAAAAAATACTTTTAAAATGTCTTGTTTAAACTGGAGTCGCGCGGCTTAAACCAGATAAAATGAAATAAGGACAGAAATGTAACCAAAATTTAGGAAACAATGCTCTATAGTTAGGGAACTGTATCACTACTGTGATACAGCAGCACACTAACAGATGTTTTGGGGTGTGAACTGCTCATGTGGGTGGTAGGGTTATGTTTTTTTCACATGGTCATCATTAGTGTTGCTGTTGATGTTGAACTGCCAGGCCTGAGCTCCTGTTGATCATGTGACCTGGCTTCTGGAGATCCAAAACAAGCTGAGGTCATTTCAGCTCACAGTCAGCTTTTCACAGCAAAAATAAAATACATTTTTTTCTTATAATAAAGCACATATATTTACCAAGAGTATTTCCGGAGGAAAGTACCATTCATAAGAGAACAAGGAGCAGTGTAATTCTGCTTTAACGCCCTGTTATAACAACTTACCAAATGATATTGATGATTGTCCGGACCAGGTTTCTAACCCTTCTTTCTTTTAAACGAATTCTTTCATTTTCCTTCCTTTTCCCTCTCCAGGTGTACTCCTTACCAGTTGCTCAGGTGTTAACGTTTTCGTCAGAGATGAGAAGAAGTACTCTGTTTTGTTCCAGACTGTTGTTCTTCCATGTCAGTACAACAGCGTCTCCACCCAGATCCCTGTGGTGCAGTGGGTGTACAAGTCGTACTGCCGCGACCGCACTCGTGACTCCTTCAACTTGTACGACAGCCCAGGTGGAGGTTTGGGAACAGGAGGAAGTGGGTCAGTGGGCATCAAGGTCGGCGGTGGAGGGTACGAGACCAGGGTGATGGCGAGTTACTTGGACTGCTCTGACAACAGCCGGACGGTCCGAACCGTGGCCTCTATCTCCGGTTCTTCAATCACACTCTCAGAGTACTACAAGAACAGAGACATCTCCATTATCAACAGTAAGTTGTTTTATATCTTTCTGAAGTTTGTGGAAAAAAGTACTATTAGTATTAGAGTCTTTGACTTAGAGGTTTATAACATTTTTCAAAAATATTGGTGCAACATGTATTTTTCCTACTGCCAAGCCTGGCAGACTTTGTGAACACTGTGCGTCAGATTTTCGGCGCTCACTTCCAGCAGATTCCACATCAAATGTTCAAAGTGATCCTTTGCACATGAGAAACGTTCTGTTGCAAACAGGAGCATTTACTGAGCTGTCTGGTGATCGTGGCTGTACAAATCATAACAAGAGCCACTGCGCACATGCAGTGTATATCTTATACAAAGGTAAAGCTTCCTTTATGCTCTTATACAAAGGTAAAGCTTCCTTTATTAAATCAATGGCAATAGGCTCGCCGCGAACTGTGTATTTGTTATTACATTAAACCCAGGTGTTCTGTTTATTTTGTTTCTATCTAAAATGTGGTTATGGTTGTCATATATTTCATCAAATGATATCTGTTTCCGTCCAAGTAATGTTGAACTGACTCACTTCAAAACACCATCCCATATTTTCAGTCATCTTTTCAGATGAGCGACGTCTCTGTCAAATCACTTTATTTAATCATTCCGTCATAATAAAAAAAAGTTCCTCAGTTCACCAGAATTCAACCACCAGAATTCACTCTGATGTCACTGCAACTCCTTTTGCGTGAACTTGTTACCTCATACCCTCTAACATTGTGCAATACAGGGAACATTTAAGGGACACTGCTGTCCACACATGCGTGTCTCTATGTGTGTGTGTCCTGGACAGAGTGGTGGCTTTGTTTGCAGGCCTCAGATTTTTGTGGTTCGTTCTGGATGAAGAATCAACCTTCTCTTCACCAGCCAGGAGCAGTTACAAAAGACATGATTTTCACGCGCTCTTCTTTTTTTTCTTGACTTCACCCTCCCTCTCTACCCACAACTCTTTTGATGTCCACCAAACTATTATTTATAGATTCTTTTGGTTTTTGTCTGATCCCACCGTCCACATCCCAGTATCCCTTTTATCAGTATGCATGTTTCCACTTTTACTTTTATTTTTTAAATGTTTTTTCTGATAAAAAGTTCATTGTTGTGATGTAAAAAATATTGAATTCACCACAGGGCTAACACATACAGTACTACAACATTAATATACTATAACTAGCAGTTGAAGAGATTTAAAAATAAATAAATAAAAGACCTTAAAATAGTTAACTATGATTTAATCTTTTGTCATTGTAACTGAGTGTTGCAGATTCCAATCTCGTATAAACACCACATACAAAAAGTAAAGTGTACTTCAGCGCCACGTTTTAGTCTCCTAACTGCAGCTTTATGTGTGTACAGTGTGGTCTACAGCCAGCAGGTGTACTGTATGCTGATTTCTCCACTGGAGGACACAGAACACATTTCAGTGGCTTAAATCTGCACTTTATAAATACGAATTGAATGTTGCTCTGACTTTATTATTTGCTTCCTTAACTGTTATTTAAAAGGTAGGCACTAAGGTTTCTCTGAGCTTTATGTTTGCTCGATCAATCCCCGTTTGTTAATGTTCACATGTTTGAGGATTCACTTTATAGTCATATAAACTCATGGTGTGTCATTAACCATTGTTCATCCTTGTAGAGGCAGACTTACGGATAGGAGAAGTCCAGTGGGGAGACAGCGGAGTTTACATCTGTAAAGTGGTGATATCTGATGACCTGGAAGGTCAGAATGAGGCTTCTGTGGAGCTGCTGGTCCTGGGTAAGGTGCTAACATTTCCTAAACAAGCCTCTCATAATGACACAACCAAACCATTATCCGATTTTTAGGGACGTGTTCACATTTGTTATCCACATCCAAAAGATCGATATGCTCCCGATTTAAGTAAAATGTCGTCCCGGGTTTTGCAGCAGTCGCACTGATTGTAAACAAATGAAAATTGTAGCATTGGTTTGAACTTAAAAAAAAGGCTGGTGTGAATAGGCCGTTACCAAACAAAGCCTTCACGAGTTAAACCATACATCACCAGGAAAACAACCCAGTCTCATTAACGAGCTGATTTACAGCAGGCAGTAGCTCAGTGTGGTCTAACGTCAGCACCTGTGCTGTGTGGAGTATAGAGCGAGCAGCTCTCAAGGTAAGGACTGGTACTGCCATTTGTCCAAAGGTTTTGCATGCTCTTTTCTCCTGGCCCCTGAAGACCACATTTTGCCAAAGTAACTGATAAAGATGATAATAATAAAATGTGTATCTGTGTGTATGTGTGTGTGTGTGTGTGTGTGTGTGTGTGTTTTGGAGTCCAATAGCTGCAAATCCTACCCTGACAACAGTAGAGACTGAGAGGCTCCTGGTGCAATAATTCACTCTGAACCTGAACTTTTGTTTGGCTCGCACTCAAAGACTTACGTGTGTGTGCCCAAACACACACTCTCACATACTGTACGCACTCGCACATATCCACAGAACTCCTGGACAACAAGCCTCCGTAGGTAGAGTACTTAAAGACTTGTTTGTCGTTTAAATCCTATTCTTGGTTTTATGTAGCTCCTCTGTAATAGCACATTACATATTTATAGCAGATGCCCATGGATGGCGTGAGGAATGCTAAATCCACATTAGTTTAGCTGATGTTGCATGTGAGGCACTTGTTGTGTTACCATAACAACAGTCAGTTCCACACCGGGGCCTCCTTTGTCTTCTCCGCAAATGGTTTCTCAGAAAAGAAGACAAGGGAGATTTAATGATGTGGGGGTAGGGACAGAGCAGCATAGTGATACAAAAGATGGATGATGACACCGAGAGAGTAAGGCCAGCCAGTGACGTGGACGTCAGAGAACTGACAGTGGCTGAATGTGCAGAATCGTCTTTCAAACACTTGTGGAACTTTTACACCAGTTTTACACCAACTTTCAAACACTTTTAGTGGAACTTTTACACCAGTTTTACACCAGGGACCATTTCAATAACTTATTATCAGAGTTGTTCATCACACAGGACCTTAGGGATAACCTCCAAACGTATGGTGTAAAACCTAGTAGAAACGCATAACAAAAATATGTCAGCGTCCAATTTAAATCCATAAAATGAAATACTTGAGCAATCGACGATAATAAACATACAGTATTTAATTGAAACTTGTAAAACGCAAGTGCTGTTACCAGTATTGCATCGTGAGCTACCAAATGTACGCATCCACCTGTTATTTGTAAAACCCTGGCAGTTTTTGTTGTTGGCTAAAACACACTTAGCACAGTTTGCTAACGTGGTATAAATTGATGTCGTCTGATTTACTGGACAGTTGGGTTTGTTTAGCTATTTACAGCTCATATGATACAATTGTACAGTTATTATTTATTCAGAGTATTCAGATTTAAATGTGTAAGTTGATTTTAATAATATGATCAGATACAGTTTAATGCGGTACCTACAAATATTTAACATTTAATTTAAAATATTCCACTTCCTATAATAGGTTGTCATAACTTTCAAGCTATAGTTTACTCTACGTTTATATATTTGGACTGTCAAAATTAAAGTTGATTAATTTGTGAAGATTCATCTGATTGACGTTTTAATGCATTGTCACCAGCGATTTTTTTTACATGTCTGCATGTAAAGTGATTTAACACAGAGCTCTTGCCTGTTTGGCATGTTATTCTCATGGGATTGATTCAGTCCATTTTTTTTTTTACAGATACTTATTTGGCAGTTTAGCTCAACATTTGCATTTTTGTTGTTGTTCCGATCTAGGGGACAATCTGGGTCCACAGCATGTGCTAGCATGTCCTCTGACACCACGATGTTTCAGAAAGTACTGGGATAGCAGTGTGATTTCTACTGCATGATGCTACTGTTCTACTGCATCTCTCATTAGTCTCGCCTGACCTTGCTCTGTGTTTTTCTTCTTCTGGTGCATGCTGCTGCAGCTCCTTTCATTCACACTGGTTGTAAATGTCGGTCACCAGTGCATCTACGTTCTCGATGAATCACTTGTTTCTTTCTGAAACAGTTTCTGCCACGTCTCTTCTCTAACTTCTTCTCTTTTTCCCGCCTCTCCTTTCCTTTTCCCTCTCCTATGTTCCTCTCCCGTTGTTCTCCTTTTCTGTCCTTTTCACTCATTTTCTCCCAACGCCTTTCCTGCTCTTTTCTATCCAGGGTTCTCAGGTGTACCTGAAGATCTGCTGCCAGACATTGACTTGAAGATTATGCCAGGTATGGGCAGACACCCCCCCCGCACCTCCCCTTTCTCATTTGGTTGTTCTCATTCATACTAACATTTTCTATTAACTGCTACTGCTCCTTCCACTAGTGCATAAATCTAATGTCGGTGAGGGCTGTGATAATGACTAACCTCTTTACTTATCGTCCATCGTGTAAAAAACCACTTGTTACGATTCAGCCAAAGTAATGTGGACTAAAGGGTTTAGAGAGAAAATGCTGTTGTGAACCCAACTGATCAGTCATCAGATTTAGGAGGTATCTGTTGCTACCGCCAAGCAAAGCCCTGCTGGAAAACAGCTATTATGGTCGTTAAATATATTTATGGTTGCGGCCAGCATGTCAGTCAGCATCATTCGGACAAAGCAGTAGTAATTAAAGGAGGGGCCTTGTTGAATTCCTCTAATACTTGTCACGGCGCTGGTGCGAAGATTTGAAAAGATGTTATTGTGGCCCTGAATGAGTCATTCAGTCTCAGTACTGTCTTTTCCTTACATGAGTAGCAAATGTCCACAGCATATCTGTAGTGAATGCTGTAGTACAAGCTGCTGTAGTACAAGCTGCTGTAGTACAAGCTGCTGTAGTACAAGCTGCTGTAGTACAAGCTGCAGCTGCTGTAGTACA